GATAACACCTTGTTTAAGTCTTCCTGGTTCTCGAATCCAAGAATAGCAAAGTTTCTTCTTTTTTCTGTTCCACTATTAACTGAAATATGGATTGTCTTAACTTTGAGGTGTTTTGTTGCACTCATAATTTTAGATACTGAGGTAGATTTTTCAATTCCATACAATCTAATGGTTATTTATTATGCTTATTACTTTAGTAACTAAAATATTTTTATTAAATTTATATAATCTAATAACAATAAAGTTGCATTGTATTAAAACTTTTGTTATTATTGTTTTTATAGGTTTTGTTTAAGTATTTTAAAAGTTTAATAAAAATATTAAAAAAGTTACTATTATAGATTTAAAGTTATTATTGTTTTTTTTTAATTATATATTTAAATAAATCTGTATTTGAATATTGTTTCTTTTAAAGAGTAGAAGTTATGCCATGACTGAATTCTATAGATTTAACAAGAAATCCATTGGATTCAATAAATTCTATTGAAGGCAACAAAAGATCACAAAGCAAGCCTCTAGCTATGGAAATTCTTAATCAATATTCAACTCTAAGAAAGTTTCTGAATTAGAAATTCCAATCAGTTTCCACATTTTGGAAAACCAAGTCAAGAAAGTAGTAAAAGATTTTACAGAACAAGAGATTACCAACAATCATATAAGAGTAGTCGAAATAGAAAACTTCAGAATACAGATGATCAAAGATCATATCTGCTCTTCAGAATATATCCAAGCACTCATCAAAGAGTATAGAATAAACAAATACAGTAATTATCAACAAACCTATTGCAACTATATAGATGGATCTTTTGAAAAAGTAAAAGATCTGATATTATGGATGGGTACAACATGGTTACAAGAGAAGGGATCAAATTCTGGAAGATTTTTTTAAGCAGGAGTAAACAATTGGCCTTTAACATTACAAGCAAAACTAGTAGCAATCATTCTGACACTCTTAGTCATACTACAAAAAAGCCAAATAGAAATTAGAATTAATAATAGTATATGTATCAATACTCTTCAGAAGTTACAGAATTTGCAGATCAAAGATATAGGAAAATGAAACAGAAAATGCAAGAACTGGTAATTATGGATAAAATGTATTGACCTAATACAGAAGAAACAAATTATAGTTTAAATGACCAAAGTCAAAGCATATAGTAATGACATGAGTAACAACAAAATAGATCTGCTGGCAAAGGAAACTAAAAAAGAATTTGAAATTATATGAACTAAGTGGTATCGACAAAAAGCCCTAATGATACTTTGCTAGAATGAAATATCTATAGATATAGGAGCAAGAAATTTTGTTAAGGAATTATACAAAAGAAATATTTTAATGAAATGGGTGGGTCAAAACTGAATACAAAAAAGATGGCTGAAAGAGATTAATAATCATGAAAATTTTGATTGAAGAGAATTCTGGAAGATAAACAGAGTAGAAGGAGCCCTAGAAACATCATTAAAGAAAACCAGAGAAAAATTCTTTCAAATTAAAATAATACATAATGAGCTTTTAACTCTAAACAATATGAATAAATGATTCCTCAAGAATATGGAAGCTTAACTGACTGTATATATTGTAGAAAAGAAAAGGAATCTCTCAAATATCTCCTTTCATATCCTAATATTGTGGAAATTCAAAAAGAAATCTGAAATAAGACTAAGACCTAGTGCTAAACAAATGGCCAAACAAGATCCTGAAAGAAAAAAATCAAGACTCAAGAATCCACATCAGTGCATTGCTAGCAAAGTAATACATAGACAAGTTTTCTTAAGGAAAAGATATTATAAACTTTATCTTAGGACTATTTCAAAAAGAAGACATTATGGAATGGAGCTTAGTGATAGTGAAATTTAAAGTTAGGAAGGGCAAAGAAAATTACTATTATGCAAATTGTCAAGATTAGTTTGTAAACAGGTCAGAAAAAAAACATGGAATAATAGATACTTCAGGCTACAAGATTCAGGAAAAAAGCCAGAAATGAAGAAGCATTAGAAAGACAACTACTCAAAGATCCAAAAAAGAAAAAAGCAGGATCAAAAAAACAAGAAGATTATGAAGCAAAAGATTTTGCAGATTAAGAAAAAGCCACGAATGAAGAGCTTAAGCAAAGTCAGGAACAAAGCAAAATAGTAAATCAAAGAAGAAAAAAAGTGATTGGGAATATAACAAATAGTCTAGATTTTGTTCAGATAAACCATAGTGATGAACTGCAGGCAATGATTCTTACCTTCATATTTCAAAAGTAAATAGAAGGTTAAAATAACAACTTTTTTCATCTCCAAAGTCATACCTAGAGTTATAATATAAGACAGATATTCAAGGCAGTAGATAGTTTATACAATATAATGTATTATATATTATTTGTTTTCTATAAAGATTTAATAAACATATGTACTTGTTTGATTATGGAAAAAAAAAAACCAATTGATTGATATACTATATATTATTATAGTTTTGAAAATTGGAATCAAATAAAATCATATAAAATCATATAAGTTCAGAATATTATTAAAAATAATAATAAGATATATTTCACCTATTAAATTTAATATAAACTTAAAAATCAATACAAAATCAAAAAATATTATTAGAATCTTTATATATTACCTGTTTTTTATATAATAGTTTTCTATAATTATAATATATTTGCTTTGTATTATACTGTATATATTGAATCTTTTTTTTTTGTTAATATTTCTATTGCTGCAAGATTTTAAAATATATTATTTGTTTTGTTTAATTTTTTTTTTAATAAATATTATTTTTATTATTATTATATATATACTGTTTAATTATATATTTGAATAAAACTTATATCTCTTAATTTACATAAGTTAAATATTAGTTTATCAAAATAACCATCTAAATTATATAGACCTATGGATTTATAGCAGTGAGTAGTACTTTCAGGTTTTCAAATGTATGTCCCTAGTTTAATATTCACAAGAAACAAATGTATAAAAACTATTTTTTATTTATGTATTTATCAGTTTTTCTATAGATTTCATATCCAAACATTCAGATTTTGATCAAAATTAGTTAGGCTATATGAAAATAGGATTTCTGGTCTTTCTAATAATTGTGGACTAAAAACAGGTCGAAGCAGAAAAGGTTGCACAAGGAAAGATTTCTGGTCTAACTCTGATAAAAGCCTATAATTTTCCTGATACAACAGATTCTGTAGTATAAAAAATAATTTAATCTAGAGCTATTTCAATCTAACACTTGCTTAAAAAAAAAGGAACTGATAAAAAGGAAAATCTAAAGCTGTAGGTAATAACTAAGAATATAGTACCTTTTTTGAAAAACTAGGCAAAAAATATTTGAAATATTCAGATATTTTAATTATTCTTATAAGATATATACTCTAAATAACAAAATCAGGATCTAGATTAAATTAAATAGTTTAAAACTAGTGATAGGATTTTTATCTTCTAAAGATTTCATTTGGTAAGTCAAACCATCTTCTTAATGATAAAACTTGATATTATTGGATAAGGCTATAGGTGGAAGAGTAGATTAACTTAATAAATTTTTATAATTATATACTTGAATATAAATAACTTAAGAATAAAATATATATATTATTAGCATTTTTTACTTGAAAAAAAAAACAAAAAAAAACTATCTAAATTATATTTAAAAAGAAATTTTAAAACTAATATTTTATTTAGATAATAATATAACAAAATATATTATTTATAGTAATAGAAAAAAGAAAGAGAGACCTGTGGGTCTATGATATAATGATTAGTGCTCTACATGTCAGATTACAAGATACTGGTTCAATCCCATGTAAAGGTAATTGAATAAGATTAATATGGTATCTGGCACTATAGCCAATTATATGCTATTTCTTATAAAAAACCATTTTACATGCTGATCCAGTGGGTGTTGAGATTGTGATCTTTCTGTTAAGGTGAAGTGATATAATAATCATTTGGCTGATGTTACGATGGTCATCTAATGAAAGGTGTCACTACATATTTGGATGTACAGACTGGACTATACTCTATCTTATTTAACCCTTATCAACTATCAATCATAACCATTCATTTGAATATATGGACTGGGCTGTGCTCCATCTTAACCAATCCTGATTAGTCATTTCTCTCCCCTCTTCCTGTTGATTATCGAATAAGGAAGTTTTAAAGAAGAGCACCATACCGACACTAATGTTTTGTATGACATGAATTACCCAACGGTTTACCATGTATATAGGAGTTGTATCCTGCTTGACATTTATACTCCTAGATTTGGTAGCTTATATCAACCAGTTTCAAACTGAAGTGTCTACTAGGAGATAAAGGACTTTGGGAGCTTGTTAAGTTATAGCCTATATAATTCTTAGGAGTCATGTCCCATTTGACTACAAGAGACCTAAATTTGATAGCTAGTGTCAACTAGCGAATCAAAACTGGAGCATTCACTAGGGAGTACATACCCACGTCAGGACTTCTCTGCCACATTAGCTGCGTGAGCAAAAAGATGTGATGTGATAAGTAATCTTAGGAAATAGTTAGCAATATTAATTGTCTTCTCAAATTGGACTGATAGGTTAGGTGGTTTAAACTAGTGATAGGATTTCCACCCCCTAGATAGGTCCTTTTCAAAAATATGAACCCACTTTATGAGTGTTATTAGTATTGCTAGGGCAATAAGTAGATAGGCTAGCATTTAGCTGTTATAATATATATATAATGTAAATTATTTTGCTGTTGACTCAATTGCCAAAATCTTTAAAAATAATTGCATCTGACTCAATTATTTTATATGTTTTAATAGTGACTCAATTAATTGCGTCAAATAATTGCATCAATTTAGGGCTCCGAAAAGTATCGAACCGATATCAAAGTGGTATCGAAATGGTACCGATCTATAGTAAATTTAATATATAGGTTGTGATCCACTCATATAAATTTATAATAAATTGAGTATCAAACTAGTATCGAACTGATATTGAAGTGGTATTATTAGGAACCCTATATCAATTGCATCAAGGATCTACCTATTTCTATCATATGTATATGTTGTAATAACAATAGACGATGTTTGATGTAAACTAATTGATTATTATTTAATAAAAAATCCTGCATCTAATGCTGTTCTATTATAAAAAAAAAAAAAAAAAAAAAAAAAAAGAAAATAAACTATATATTAATTCTTAATAAATAGCTTCTCATATTATAACTTTAGCTTATATAGTTATGAATTTAAAAGAAATTAAATATAAATATTATACTTTTTAGTAAATGCTTTAAAATTATAATCTTTGATTAATATAAACTATTAAATCTAAAAGCTCTAAGGTTAAGTAAATATAACTTCAAAATCTTAGTAAATACTTCAAAAGATTTTATTAACTTAAGCTATCAAATCTAAAAGACAAAATTATTAAACAAAACATACTTTCTATATATTTGATAAACTATTTAAAAGCTATAATGATATTATATATTAATGTTTATATTATTAATCTCTTTAAAATTGTTTATTTAATATTAATATATAATAAGTTATTGTTAATGTTATTATAGTATCAAATAATACAATTTTGATAAAATATAATTAGTTGAAAAATAATATTAATTATTTAATAGGATAAATTAATTTTAATTTTTGTTAAAAACTTTTATATACTGTATATATATACTGTATATAAGCAAAAAAGATATCAAACTAAAGATTTTTCTTTATGTAATTTTCATTAGCAAAGTTTTTAAATCTTAAAGAATTCAATCAAAAGTTTTATTTTTTTTTTATTTTTTTTTTTTTAAGGTGAACGTGCATCGATATGAAATCTTTATTGATAATTACTATCAAGATTGACATCAAGTGTCTTCTACATATAGTTCAATTCTTTGATTTACATTACTATGTCTTCTATATATAGAATTAACACTGTCTATTGACTATTTCTAGTAACAGCTTACATATCCACTTTAATTATTCAACTATATGAACTTATACCAAGGAGATGTGTCCACACGTTAGGTGGGATTAATCTAGGGGATGGAAATCCTGCCACCAGTTTTAAACCATCTAAACCTGTTAATCCAATGAGGCGGAGAGCTTGTATACCTTACAAAAATAATTAGAACACCCGGATATCCTGAATACTTTTCGCCTGGTTTCTCAGAGAAGGTATTATACTCCTTGTCATCATCTGTAGCTTCAGATTTCCTTTTTAGAGTCCTCTTCTTTTAAGCAAACACCAGATTGGAATAGCCCCAGGCTAGAGTGTTCTTTGTGCTATGGAGTCTGTCATGCCAGGGAGGTTGTAGGCTTTTTACCAGAGTTAGACCAGAAATCTTTCCTTATGTAACCTTTCCTGCTTCGACCTGTTTTCAGCCCGCGATTGTCAGAAAGACCAGAGATCCCATTTTCATGCAGCCTAACTAAATTTGGATAAGATCCAGATGTTTGGATACGACATTTGTAAGAAAACCGGTAAACTCACAAATGAAGGATAATTTTTGTACATTTGTCCCTTGTGGGTATTGAACTAGGGACATGCATTTGGTAACCTGGGAGCACTACCCACTGTGCTATGGATCCACAGATTTAAAGTTTTATTTTTCTGTAACTTGAATTTTTTTAATCAAATTTTTAAAGTTGACTCATATATAGCAGAACTTGAAATATGAAAAAAATATTGTATTAATGTTGATAAAGAAAACTTTTTATTTTGAAAATAAAAAATATTAGTTTTTTGAAGAAAGATTAACTGATAAGTCTGTTTTAAAAAAGAATTTTTGTTTTAAATAGTAGTAAAGAAAGGAAAAAAAGTTTCTTTAAAAGAAAATATAATTTGACAAATTATTTTTTACTTGTCTTGTTAAATTTTCTAAAAAAAAAGTTTTTCAAAAAATTAAAAAAACGAAGAGTTTTTTTTTACAAAAAAAATTTCAAAAGTTTTATTAATAATTTTTATTAATAATTTTAAAAAATTTAATAAAATAAAAATTTAAAAATAAATTTAAATAAACAAAAATTTATTAAAAAATAATGGATACTATATACCGTATATATTTGAAAATAAGCTACCCTTTTTTGCAAAATTTTAAACTTGAAAAATAAGAGGATAGCTTATTTTCAGAGTTTTATTTATTAATTACTACCTGAAATTTATATAAAATTCTGGATTTTAAAAGGTAGGATAGCTTATTTTCAGGGGTAGCCTATTTTTGAACATATACGGTATATATTATATTTAAAAAAAATTTTAAATTTTAAATATAAAAACTAAATAAATAAATATATAAATATACAGTATATACTATATATATTAGATTACTGAATATTTTGAAAGTTTTAAAGAATATTTTGAATATATTTTTAAAAAACATGAAAAATAAAGTTGTTGTGTTACTGGTTTAAATTATTAGTATTATTAAAAAAATATATATAGACTTTATTATTACAAAATTATAAAACTTCTTGAAAATATAAATTTTTGAATTAACGAAAGAATCAATAAAAAGAATTCATTATTAATCTTTAAAACTTAATTTTATTTTAGGTTAAAATATATATAATATAATAATACATTGATACCATTCATTGAAATTTTTATTAAAAAATATCATTAAAAATTAGATTTAACCTTAATAAACTAAATTAACTATTTTTTCAATAATTTATTATTTTATAATATATATGGCTTCTATTTAAAGAACATATTGTAATATTACCAAATATTTTTATTTACTTAAATAAAAAACATCTAAGAAAAAAAACAAAAAAACTTAAATTTATTATTAAAACTAACACTTAATATCAATTTTTGTTTTAAGCTATTTGCAAAAAAAATGTATTAAACGTCAAAATACCAGCCCTAATGTGACTTACTCGTGGTCAAACACACAACCTCAATTTAAATCCGTATTGTGAATTATCTAAAATAAACTTTTATGTAATTCCCAACGAAGTGAATCAGTTTGATATCTCTTGTAATTCAATCATGCATATATATCCAAAGTACAAATACATAACTCCACAAAGTATAAAAAGAAATTTCTGAAATAATTCAGGCGGATGCAGCTACATATCAAGTGGATATAATTAGGTTGTGACTTTAAAAATTATCACATATCGCATATAAACATAAAAGAAACTTACTATAGAAATAAATGTTTTCCCACAATGGCTGATAATCTCTAAGAATACCTCCAAACAATGATAAAATTGGTTTGTTACTAACTGCATGGCAAAAATTGTTGATTTTTGGTCTATAAAATTGGATATTGGTTGAAAGTAAGATTCATGAGAATTTCTTGAAAATACACAATATCAAAAAAGATTAGGTACTTGGTGAATTGTTCATAAAAAGGTCCTCTCAAGATGTAGAAGAAGAATTGGCGAATGCGCCTTTTTTTTTCTTCTTTTTCCAATGATGATGACCATCTGTATCCACCTGGTATTCGTCTCTTATAGTAATAGGATTCCATAATTCTTGTTACTAATTCTATAGATAACGATAACAACCATGGTCGCCATGACCGATTTCCATATTTCCGCAAAGCAAGAACTATTAAATAAATTAGATAATTTAAATATAAGAGTATAGATGTGATGAAAACTTTCAATTATAAAAACCTACCATAAAGAAGAGGTCGAATAATGTATAGTAATTCTCCTAATGTTCCGTAACTTTGTAATTTATGCACCAATTCCGATGGTTTTTGGACATCTTCGACCATCAACACTTTGCTCATTAAGTAGTCAGACACAGCAGGATAATGTGTGATTCCCTTCTGAACGACAGAAATGCGATCATGTATGCGGCCGGTATATTTCCCAGTCCAAGTTTCGAACTCTTTTGATCTGTGAACATCCATCAAATTTCCCGCGTGACCGTTTGACACGAAGGAATTGGATGATCTATTCTCTTCATTGAAAATAGAAGGATCAACTTCACGTCGTGGTATAGGTGGATTAATAACTGTACGTTCATGAGTTTTGCGCAGAAGTAAAATTCTACAAATAGCTCTTTTTCCATGAAATATAATATATTAGCAATTTGTAAAAAATAAATTACGCAAAAAATTTACTTACTTAAATAATTCGATCAAGACAATTAATCTCCATTTAGCTTCTTTGCCCCATTTTTTTTGCACACCCATCTCCATTAAAACATCAGTATACTGTAAAAATGTTAATGCAAGTGATGCGCGTTGATACGTTTTAGATGAGTTTATCCAATATCTTGTGTATCTATTATGTGATGATGGTGCTGGTTTCTTTGATGGTGGCAGGTTTTCGGAAGCTCTAACCAAGATTGAATCATGATATAATCCAATTAAATTCAATGCCGCAAATACTGTTCATCATATTGAAAGGGCAATGTAAAAAGTAAATACGGAGGTAAGAATTTTTGAAAAAGGTCGGAAACATCCTTTATTATCATTATTTAAAATACGTGCACGCTTCGGAAGCGAATTCAGCGTCAGCGAAGCGTCCTGTTATATATAAAATTCATTATTAATTAATATAAAGTCACAAAGTATAGAAAACGCGTTTATCTATAGCTGCACTTTTATGCAAAAGAGAAATACCAGGTAAAATGTAAGTTAAAGTTCTCAAGAAACTTTCAATGGAGCTGATCTGTGAAGCATTTTTCAAAGTCCAGTCTTCATATTTTTCCAAAAGCTTGGACATTGTCTATTAAAAACAATTGATTATGTAACAAAAAGTTTATCGTTATATAGAGAAAGTGAGTGGAATCGAGAAAATTTACCAAAATAACATTCTATTTGTTGCATTCTTGATTGATCTAAAAACTTGATTACATCGAGATACCAAAAAAAATTTTTGTTTGCTTTTTACGGACATTCAATATCTCTTTTTGAGAATGTAAAAATTTAATTATTTTAATATTTAATAATTTAAAAAATTTTTTTAATAATATAAATTATATATACTGTATATACTTTATATATTTAATTAATATTATTGTATATAAAGTAATATACATTTTTTTAAAATTTTTATTTATAGTAATTTTGATCAAGAAAAAATACTTTATATTATAGAGGATGGATAAAAGTTTATGGACAACTTTTTTTTTTTTTTTAAATAAAATTTAATTTAAAAACTAATTAAACTTTATTAATAAAAA